TTAGACACTGCTTTTATTATTGAAAATGCTTGCAAATCATATTTGTCCCACTCTACTGAAATGGTAGGCAAATTGTCCAATAGGAAGATGTAGCAAATGAGGGTGCCCAAAGAAATAAAGTTAATTGTTTTTTAAAATACATAAAGAGAGAAATATACTAGCCCAGGGATTTCTACCGCAGTACTTGCAGTATTAATCAATTAACGGACTGATAAACAATACACGCAGTCCTGCTGTCAAGTACAACCATAGAAAGCCGACAAACTAAACTATTTACATTCTTACCGATGGCTTCAAAGCACAGATCTAAAGCAGCAACAACAACAACAAAAAGAGAAGAAAGACAAATGTTTTAAACCTACAAACATATTACACATGGGAAAAATAACAAAAAAACTATTGAAATGTACATCAATGGATGATTGGTAATATCTTATTCAATCTGGACCAACTCACACAATAGCAGTGTTAATTTTGGCGGCAAATTTCAATTTAGTTTTAGTCATATTTTATTCATCTGAAGTGTGTTCGTTTTAATTGACTAATTTCCAGTAGATTTTAGTCGACACAACTAAAATTGGGTTTAGTTAAAGCCCTGATCTATCTCTTTTGCCTCTCCCATAGCCCCTGTGTGCAGTGTTAATTTTGGCAGCAAATTTCAATTTAGTTTTAGTCATAGTCTTTTGACTAAAATGTAATTTTAGTTTTAGTCGTAGTTTAGTCATCTGAATTGTTTTAGTTTTAGTTGACTAAATCTCAAAAATTGTTATCGACTAAAATTATTAGTCAACAAAATGAACACTGCACGTTAGACACTATTATAAAATTGTAAAGCGCTACGGAAGTTGTTGTAGCTATATAAATGGCCATAATAATAATATTATTATTGTAAATAAAGGTTAGGAAAATACATTAAACTCATTAAAAAATATACAGTCTGAAGCTCAATAATCTGAATAAAATATGTAAATTCTTTAATATATTCAATGTATTTATGTGTGGGAATGTTTATAAGGTAATTATGGACACTAAGCGATTTATTTACTAAAACCCAAAATGTAATTCAAGGGATTCTCTTAGCACAAAAACAGCTTTAGATAATGAAGTAGTTTTGGTGTGTAGAGCAAGCCACTGAAGTCTCACTGTTCACAGAGCCACTCTTTCCAACTCCCATCTTTACACTTTTCGAAAACCACTGCAATGTGAACTTTAATTAAAGGGGGAGAGAGCAAAAGAAAAGTTCAGTTTTCAGTTGCAGTTTATTTTTAAAATACAAGCTTTATAATACATAGCAATGAATGGCTAACGGGAGTATTCCTTTAACCACTTTCATTCTGAGGGCTGATCTGTTGCTTATAGCTGTGAACAAAGGGCTTTTTTTTTTTTTTTAGGTAACTCGGTTCTTAAAAATCTTTGTTACAATTACTTTATACCTTGGATTCAGTCTCATAATTGTGCCTAATATGTCTTTAAATTCCAAATGTTTCAATCCTCACCTGCAAAATGACAAGTGCGTTTTCTATTGAGAGCTCATCAGAGGGTAACCCTTCACTTTTCCAAATTAACTGCTCACTCTCAGTAGACAGAAACCGTCTTAAATCAAACACTGGTAAATGAGAAAAAGGAAATGTTATGTCTTAAATACATACTACAAACACCAAAAATAAAATAAATACATAACATATCGGTGCCATGCACCTCCAGCCTCACCATCATTCCAAGACAAATATGCTATTCAGACCTCTTGTAAGGCTGTGGGTTATGTATCACGGAAATGGCAAAATAACTGATTTTACAGAAGATATTCTATACTTGGTATTTTAATTGATTTATCTTGTCCTCTAAGTAACTGGGATCCTCGTGCTTACTTTTTAATGGATTTCAGTAATCCTTTTTTTAAGGCTGCTTATTACTGCATTGATGTCACTTTTTTTTTACCCACACATAGTCAATAACTGCACAGCACTTTGGGACTGAGCACTCTGGGAGGCTCATGGATACGCATACATTAACACCTGTATGTGTAGCCCATCCACTAAGATCTAACAATGACCTACTCATTGAACCTTCTATTATCACCTAGACTTGCTATACTGCAGGACTTCTCTCATGTTGCACTAACCCTCTGGAACACACTTCCTCGCGCTGCCATACTTTTCGCTAGTTTGTATTCTTTTAAATGCTACCTGTTGAGGGACGTCTAACTCTTAACTTAGTAACCAACGCATTCCACTTAACCATTAAAAATCTTCATCTCAGTCTGTATTATCATACTCCATTTTCAGCGCCCACCTGCTGTTTCTTACAGCCCCCATCCATCTAGATTGTAAATTCCCATGAGAATAGAGCTCTTAACTCTTCCTGTATGTTTTTTTTTTAATTTTGTGTTGTCTCTTGCACGTGTGTCTTTTCACTTGTACCAACTGTACCCATGGACTGTGCTTCAGAATGTGTTGGCACTTTAAAAATAAAGTATAATAATAATAATATCCAAGAAAAAAATTATAATCCAGCAAGCCATGTACACCGACTGCTATAAAAAATATCCAAGATTTTAAACTTCATAAAATGATATTAAATGTTATATTAATAGCATAATTACTATCTAGGCCAACAGATTTCATCCAGTGATCCAGACTGTCTTTCCTCTGATCTTCTGGAGCAGCTGAAATATATGTGATGAATGCAGCGGCCAACTGAGCTCTTTTTGGCAAAGTGTTTAATTCTTCTGTGATTTCTACAACCTAAAGAAAACAGAAAATATATATATATATATATTTTTATTTTTTTAAAGAGAGAAATAAAAGAACTGTACAAGTCCATGTTGTTAGACCATCCACATTATTCCTAGACGTCTTAGTTAAAACATTAGACCAATTATGCTATATGCAAACGATTTCTAGCCTGCAATGAACTCCCACTATGCACTTATTGCTCTGGCATTTAAAGTACACAACAAGCTCTGCAGTTTTGTAATGAAGAAAGAAATAAAGAAAATAAAGCAGGCAGAAGCACTGGTTAAATAAAGACAAAACAAAAAGGTTTATTCAACAAACTCTAAAGCTGAATCTAGATCACAGATGGCAATTCGTCTAGGTTTCTACTAAACAGATTTTTTTTTAAAAAAAAATTTTTAAAGTGCCGGCGTGTTTTTTTTTAGTAATGTGAATTTCTTTTATGACAGTATAAATAAACAAACACATTATGTTAGGGAGAAATTATATTTGTGTTTATTCCTGTTCAATAAACAGTGAAAAAACTAAAATCCAGGCACTGGTTATTTCCCTCTTATTTACTCACAAATGACACCTTTGAGGCAATGCTAGAAACGACCTGGACTAATTATGTCAATGACAAGGAGGATCACCATGTTATTCTGGCAGACTTCGAAGGTGGCCACATAATAAATAAAATTAAATTGAAAAAAACCTTGGATAACAAATATGATTAATGCCACTCTTTTGATAGCACACAAGACATAACTTGCTTCTCCATCGGGTGATGCAGAAATAAATATACAGAGACCAGGACCCAATGTACTCACTTTTATTAGACAAGTCTCAGATAAGGAATCCTCTAAATACTGCCAACACCCTCTTTAGCAACTACTTTCAAATACTTTATACAGATGATTTGGAGGATGACTTATTGGGTGTGGAGCTTTTGCGGAGGGGAGAATTATCTAGACTAACCTATACCCAATGAGGTATTCCCCAATCACCTTTGCGTGGTCAATAATTTTATTGAGCCAGGACCTGAAAATCTTTACAAAAGTTATAGCAAATCAATTATAAAACTGCTTACCAGAATTACTACATCCCTAACAACTGGGTTTTGTTCAGATGAGACATTTAATCCAAGGGCAGCTATAGTTTCTGTTCAAAATTCCTGCGTTTTCCTCTTCTCTCCTCCTCAGTCTTGATGCACACAAACCCTGTGATTACCTAACAGCATCTTTCTAGGTCCTGAAAAACCTTTTTTGCATACACTTTTAAAATCTAATTTGTAACATATATCTTTCTCTATGTACCAAAATCCTTACTAACTTTTAAAAATTTGAGGGGGTGATTATATTTCAAAGAGTATGACAGGGCTGCCCCTTAGCTCCACTTCTTTTTAGTGTATTTTTAGATGCATTTATTCGTCTCTATAACTTTCCCTTTTTCTTGGCTATCCTTAATAGGAACTTAACATTAAAACAGCATTTGCGGATGATCTACATTGCTCACCCAGAACAGTCCTCACTTCCTCTTTCCTAATCGATCAGTCTCTTTCATTCCAAACTACTTTCATACCACTTCACCTCTGTAGGTCCAACAAAGTGGATTACCAATTTTCCTGACATGGATTTAACTCATATCTTCTCTGCCTCCAACTTCAGAAAATTATACCAATACCCATATATCAAGAAATATACATGGAAATTCTTCATAATGACTATTATTCACCAAAACATCTACACACACTGGGACTGAAAGGACCCTCAGCTTGTCCAATATTTTTTTTCCTTTTGGGAAGGGAGCCAGGTGTCATATCTATTTCCTGGGGTGTTCCACTTCTCCAATGTTCAAACGTACCTGAATTCTGAATTTCATCATAAATCTTACACTTTATTTTACACCTCAAATGACAATCCTAGCATTCTGTCATCATCCTTTAAACCATACAATACATTTGTTCACATGATTCAGGCTACTGCCAGGAAGTCCATTTTGCAAAAGTGTATTTTACATGAAGCCCTAACAATGTCCTTGTCTTTTATTTTTTCAGAGCGAGTTTAGGGATGAGGGTATGGGGAAATGGGTTGCTTGTTTAAATGAGGATCGCATAATATAAAAGTCATGCTCAATATTTGAACGCATCAAACAGCATTGTACAATATGTCAACTGCTTTTACCAACCTCAATAAAAACTTTTTAATTGTTTCAGCTAAACTAAATAAATAGCACATAGTGACATTTTAAAAGTAGGCAATGACTAGGACAGGCATAGGCAACCTTCGGCACTCCAGATGTTTTGGACTACACCTCCCATGATGCTTTGCCAGTATTATGGGTGTAAGAGCAATATGAGGGGTGTAGTCCAAAACATCTGGAGTGCCAAAGGTTGCCTATCCTTGGTCTAGGAAGTGTGGCCCTGAATGTTTCAAGTTCATAGTAAATAGCTTCATATTAATATATGAATGGAAACACATCCAGCACGTGGGACAGACCTGTGCATTCCATCTCTTGTGCTCTCCATCCAGCTGACGAATCAATAGCTCTGCCGACTGAATTATTTCTTGGGCTTTAGATAACTCTGCTTCCAGTTTAGCAGCTTCTGTGGTCCTTGTCTGAAACCTGCAAGTAAGTAAGAGTTGAAAATGACCATATAGTTGACCAGCCAGGAGGAGATATCTACCATCTACACAGGCAAATGTGTATTATTTATCACCAGATAATAAATCTATGCATGTAAATAAGTGTGCGTGTTTGTGTAAGGACAGAGGTAATAATTCATGTTCTGAACCAAAAACATTTGCATACCCTCCTCTGTCTGATTATAAAACCTGCGGTTTATTGAAAAGCAACAAGGTATATTGTTAAAATAGTACTCACAAAAGTGGTTGTGTTATGTTTATGTTTTTTTTTTGTATTGATTTTTACAAATAATAGACAGAATTAAGGGGGATGTACTAAAAACTGCAAAATAGCAAACAACAACAAATATACTAAATACTATACTTTATTTAGTGGTGTTAAGTCATCATTATGTCCTCTCTTCCTGAACATGCTAACAATGTAATTTGCATTTTTAAAACGAATACAGCACATAGCAAGTTGGTCTGTGAGCTAACAATCAGTTCTACAAAATAAAGATTAATAAAGATTAAGACAAAGGAAACAATAATTATTAAACCGAAACTTATTAAACCGAAACTTTAAGCACCAAAACAAATTTAGCTTAATTAAGCCATTTTATTGTATTTATATTGGAGCCCGGTAGACCCCAGGTTAGAAGTCAAACTGTTCTAAAAATGACTGTAGTGTTTATGGTACTTGGAGTGCTCCTTTAAGTTACATTTGTTTTAGTTCTAAGAGTGTTCCTTTAAGCCTTAATAAATATAGAAAATGTTAAACAGATTTACATATCTAAATCTAAAGCTTGTGGACAAATATTAGGACCTAGACAAAAGGTGTGTTTATTTTTTTTTTTACAAGACACACAAATGACAGTGAAGAAATCAAAGGCTTTGTTAATGTAATAAACAGAATTCACAAGCACAGAGTAACAAGCAGCAAATGAATCATGTTGGGATAACAAGTGGGCGTTTAGAGATTGCCTTTTAACAAAAGCACAGTGGGATTAATATTATCCTGTATTTATAAAATGCCAGCATATTTAATTGTATTTAGAGCAGTGTTTAAATAGCAAACAAACCGATATGGATGTGGGAGGAGAGCAACATACAAGGGGGAACAACTAAACATGGAAGAAATTAGGTCAAGATAATAAAGCAATCTCATTGACTCCAAGCAAGGAACAATGATCATTTAAACTAAATCTATCATTGGAGCAATGGAAACAAGACAGCAAGCAGCGTGTGTGTGTGTCTGGCTCACAGATATACTATTCATCACTCTGCAAGCATTGTCTGTGTGTGTGTGTGTGTATAGGCGTGCTAACCTATTGTAAATAGAATCCATTTCTATTATTCATTTTCTATTCATTTTTCATTCTTATTGCACAATATTTGGGAAGTATTATGATTTGATATTTGTGGAACTATAAGATTTAGTAAGATGAGGATCCCTGTATGGAGGAGGACAGGGTAGTTGACGAATAAGTGACCTGTGCAGGAGAAACCTCTCTCACATCAGGATGGTTCCTCAACATCATAAGGCCGTGTTTCATGCTGTACATAATAAAGTTAAACAATTACAACAACAAAAAAGTGCATCCACACTTTGGATTTAATGCATCCTAGAGGTTTGAATACGAAGCTTGATTAACGTGCGTTTTTTTTTTTTCTTTTTTAACATCCTCCTCGTCTTTTTTCTCTCTCTTCTGGGTACTATATTAAGAGATGTGCCTTTGGAGGTTCTGCTTGCCTATAGGAACACCTGCTGGTTAAGTTGTGGCTCTGACACAGCATGAGAATTCTGTACCCAGCCTCAGGTATACTTATTCATGGACTCTTACGTGGACTGATCGAGGAATTGCTTTTCTGGGATTAGCTACAAGATCTGTATATATTTCTGTTTCTCCAAGTATGAAGTCGTGATAGGGTTTATAATATTGTGAAGTTCTGTTGCTGTTGGGACAAGTCTTGTCTTCTGATTAATCATGAGATTAAAATACATGATTAAATACATGATTTTTTTTCTTGTGAACAGATTTAGTTACCAGTGTTATATTTGGGATTTATATCCCTTCTGCAGTACACTTGGAATTTGATATCACAGAAAAAAGAAGAAAAAGAAAACTAAAAGAGTCAGCCAGAGTCAGCCAATCAATGCATAATTTAGATGAAATTGACATTGAAGTAATATGGTGGGAGTGATGGGGCTGTGTGCCCAGTGGACATAACCGAGCAATGGCACCAGTAGCTTGCAAACACCAATGTCACAACAATAAACTGTAGTGGTTATAGTACTTGTAGCGCCCCTTTAAACAGTGGACCTCTCACAGTATAGGAAAACAACTGGTGGCAATATGCATTGGATGGGTACCAATTGCTACAGAAAGTTGCAGTAAAGGAAAGAAGTATATGCAACACACATTTGTTATCAAATGCAAATGTAATATTCTCAATTCAATTCTCTGAGCAATGTAAATGGGTTTTAGCTATACTGCTTTATTGCGTGATTGTGCTCACAAACCACGTAATGCTTGACAACTTTTACACTGAATACACCATTACTTGCTTTGAATCACCCTAGTAAGAAGAGTAAGGGGAAGATACCAGAGGCTCTGACCCACGTATGTGCATACACCAAAACACAAAATAAAAAAAAATAAAAACATATGTGCAGTTATTTCATATACATAGCAAAACATATATCATTCTATACTACATGTATGTGTATTGAAAATACATATGCACTAACACACTATATAACACTGTATTAAACACAAAAGAACTTACTTTTCTTTTAGTTCTGCCACCCTCTGTCCAACGGTGTTAAGCTGATCCTCTAATCTTTGCTTTTTCTCTTCAATCCTTCTAAAATTGCTAAAAATAAAATGTCAAATGTTAGCTTACCCAGATTATAGAATTCTAAATGTCAGTTTAATCATATATTGTTTGAGAGTCCAATAGTGCTAGGAATGTGATTGGATCAGGCTAGCAGCAGACGTCAGCAGACTGCTTGTTTTTCCTGAGTCTAACAGCATGCAGATTTACAGCTTCTGGCTTGAATACAGTAAGATTTTTACTATATTTATGGAGGCATGAGGGGCCCAAGCAGGCTAGATGGTCGTGTTAACACTATAGGGTCAGGAATACATGTAGTTGCATTGGTGACTATGGTGTCCCTTTAATATTCTCTCCTAGCCCTAAAATGGTACTTCTGCGTTTTCCATCTCCTAGCAATAAAATAATCCCAATATCCAAGCAATATAAGTTAATATCCTTTCCTAGCCCTGAAATGGTACCTATGCATTGCCTCCTAGCAATAAAGTTATCACATTATAACAAAGTGCCACCATGGAATTTGGAAATGAGAAAATATATACTATGCAGTGTTATGGAAAAAAATATAGGTAATTTTCCCTATTTTTCTGATACGTACGACTGAAGGCCAGCTTGCTCATTCTCCAGTGGCTGGATCTTCTCCAATACATGGGAATACTGCACATTGGCCTTCACCCACGAAGCCAATGGGGCAGCAGCAGCACTAGCTCTCTTTGCATTCTGAGGGAAATTAAACATAGAAAAATATTTTGACAAATTACTTATTAATCATCAGAAATATATTTGTAAACCACCGGTGCAGGGCTCACAACATGCAGTTGCTATTGCCTGCTATTACAATCTCAGAAATCTAATCTGCTCTTTCTCCATCTTTCACATTCTACTAGAACCCCAGGCATGGCACTGCCCTCGGGCAAAAAAAGACAAATAGAATTCATGAAGAAAACAAAAGTGGAAGACAAAGCAAGTGACATGGACAGGGCTAGTGATATGGGGAGTGAGAGAGCCAGTGACACAGGAATGAAGTGAGCACGTGATACCAAGGACACCTCCTCCCCTCGTCCTGTCTTGGTTGGAGTTCCCCAAGGGTCTGTCCTTGGTCCCCTTCTATTTTCTCTTTATACTGCCTCTCTTGGATTTCACTACCACCTGTACGCTGCTGACACTCAGATATACCTCTCCTCCCCGGACCTCTCCCCTGCCGTCCTGCAACGTGTCACTGCTTGCCTTTCTTCCATCTCTGACTGGATGTCCTCACGCTTTCTGAAACTTAACCTCTCTAAAACTGAACTCCTTGTCTTTCCTCCTCCTAATACTGATCCTCCTATCTCGCTCTCCCTTCAAGTCAGTGATATCCACATAAGTCCATCCCTGCAAGCGCACTGTCTTGGCGTCATACTTGACTCTGGTCTCACCTTTGAGTCTCATATCCAGTTTGTTGCCAAGTCCTGTAGGTTCCAACTCAAAAACATAGCCCACATTCGCCCCTTTCTTACGCAAGATGCTACCAAGGAGCTTGTCCATGCTCTAGTAATTTCCCGCATGGATTACTGTAACCCTCTCCTGATTGGTCTCCCCAAAAGCCGTATTGCCCCGCTACAGTCTGTAATGAATGCTGCAGCTAGACTGATTTTCCTCTCTAGTCGGTCCTCTCACACCTCACCCCTCTGCCAGTCCTTACATTGGCTCCCTGTATGCTATAGGAGTCAATTCAAAGTGCTAACCCATACATTTAAAGCACTGAACAATTCTAGCCCCACTTATATCTCTTCACTAATCCATAGATATGCCCCTCCTCGTACCCTCCGCTCTGCCCGTGACCACCTCCTGACCGCTGCTCGCACCCGTACGGCCAACTCGCGCTTGCAGGACCTCTCGCGGGCGGCTCCTCTCCTATGGAATAGCTTGCCTACTGCCATCAGACTC